ATCCTCACGTTAGCTACACCGACGGTTTGTCCCCCATGTGCCCAGATATGTAACTCTACCAGAGTCAGGAAGCCCACACGGGATGCGGGATTTGCTCACTCTGTTCGCCCGCCTCGTTCATGTCCGGCACGTACGCAGCAGACTGCGAAAGCGGACAACGTAGACTAAAGAAAGCGCGAATCAATAATCATATTCAGCTCCCGGCCCGACCAGGAGCCAGACCAGCAGGACAATCTAAAAAGGGAAACCAAGATAGATATATTGATTCATCCTCCCCCACAGCTGAACTGGGGCAGGGTAAGCTATTGAGATCCAGACTTCAATTCTGTAGCGTTTGCGACACCTCAAATCAACTTGAGCGCTCTGTCCATCTGCGACATTCAGACTGTTGACAAGGTGCAACTTCGGCGAACCAATTCTATATATCACCCCAGCTTGGTCCTACCAACTGATCTCCATCCGGGCCATTTCAGTACGAACGGACGCTGTTGTGTCAAAAAGTTTCTTGTCAAACGTGACATCTGTCAAACTGGAGAGACACCAACAAAGTTAATTACCCCAAGCCATTGAAAAAGAGCGGGAATTCAAGGGTATTGTTTTTGGAGACACTGTTACGATCCCGCCCAGATCCTCCCACACGAGCTTCGTATTCCCTCGTCAGCATTGCCCGGCCGCAGCAGCCAGCATAATAAAAGGACACGAAGCAAACAATACGATCGTCACCAACATAATTCCTACAGCATCTCCCACAAGACGCTGGCCACAAATACAAGCAGACAGCGTAACAACAACTGCATCATAATTGCATCCTTCCGCGAAACAATCTCACCGCCACGCCCTCAGACGGAATACAGGGTTCGCTGCATCGCATTGCAAAACGGCAGAGCATCAATTGCATCATAGGTCCTACCCTTGCGGCAGTACCTAGGCAGCGTATTCCCTGACAGCTGATCACCCGTCATCAGCGGTCCTCCTTCAGGCAAAACGCCACACCGCCCTGTCGGTCTCAGCGGCCTGATCCAGCAGTGATTACCACGGAAGTCCCCACAAACCCTGATTTTGCGCGGTCGATTGCCGAGAAACACTTCCTTTTACGGCCATTGTTAAGGCTGTAGCAGTGGAGAGAGTTGCGAGGAGAATCACTGACAGCGGAGCAATCTCTGCTGCACTCATCGCGTCAGGATCGGATTGTTGCAATTGCATGTGCATAGACGGCGCCTTTTGCCCCTCGCTGCATCATTGACGCTGCATTGACGCTGCATCTGCCTGGGTGCCATTTCGTCTCTCAAGTTGTCACTGTTGTCTTGCGTTAGAGACAGCGGCAAATACACAAGCCACACCCTAACAGCATCAATCAAACCATCAGCTGTCTCAACACGGAGATAGACAGGCCTTTGTCTCACGGGAATAGGCACTGCATTGTGGCGAGTCATATTCTTAGCATTGGTTTTCCCATTGCAGCTGGACCCTGAACCCTGACGCCCTGAACCCAAGAGTGGGAGGGGACCCTGCAAGCAAGCAGACATCCACCCGCTGATTCCTCGGAAACCGCAAAATACCGGGAACCTGGAGCCAGACTTTCGGGGCAATAGCGTCATCGAACGGGCTGCTTTTTGGTGTGCGGTGGTGGCTGAAAAGGCCTGACGGCGACAAGAATCTTGGCCGCAACCGACCGACCCGACCGCCCGAGTCAGTGTCAGTGTCATTGTCCATTGACTGAAAGAAAGCACCATCTTTGTTATTTATTAGTCCTCGTGGTACCTCGCCGGCCTCGTCACGACTGCGATTTCGCTCCTGACGGTAAAATTGCTGCTTGCACTGCACGCAATCAAAACCAACAGACCTACAACACATCGATAATACATGTCAGCACTGGGCTGCACGACATAAATCCCAAGTCATCAAACATCGTCATCATCCTCCTCGGGAACATCCATCCTGCCGCAATAATTATTCGCGGTATTGTGCAGTGACAAATAGGCTGGACCGAATATCTCAACCACCGCGTTCTTCAGATCTGAAGAGCCGTACCTCGACCACTTATCGGGCACCATCTATTGACTTCCATTGGCTCCCGAACTTCAACCGCGCCTTTTGGCCTCTCTTCTGACTGAGGCGAATTGCATCAACCAACGAGGCAAAGTTTTGCTAGACAGCCCGCCCTCAACGTCGTTTTTTTATTTAACTACAGCATCAACCCGGTTGGGCCTTTATCTAGGTATCTGGGGCTTGGAAGTCGACCAGACCAGATCCTCATCCGGCGTACCAATAGTCACATCTCTGATCTTGCGGAGGTACACCGAGCCAATCCCCACGCGTGTATGATCCAAACACGCACAAGACAACTCACACACACACCTCCATCTCAATCAACCATCCGACCGAGGCTTGTATCGCCTGGTATCTCTACCCCGCGCCTTGAAACTGTTTGTTGCTCCTCCTGGCTGGCCTCATCCACGCCGACCCCGAGAAGCCCCGCGTTTTCCGCCTATCCTATCATAGGTATCCATCTCATAATCCTGGGACAGGTAACATTGCACCTGGCAGGCAGCACGCGGCACCTCCACCAGCCTCTCTAATTCCTTGTCTCAAGTCGAGTCACAAACAACAATCAACAGCAGCAGCCTGACAGACTTAATAAGAAGCTGCCAACTCCTATCCCGCTGACCGAAAGTCTTCTCCTCTTTCAGTCAGTCATCAACACCAACCCCATCACCGTCAAATCACTACGCTGGATTTGGTGAGATACAGTATTCACTCGAGTACTTACAATCCTCCATGAGTGGGGAGTCGCGGAACAGCAGCAAAAGCAAGTGCAAAGCTTCCCCAACTCCTCCGGCAGTAGCAGCAACAGCTACCCCGCGTCGACCCCAGGACTTGCACCGAGCTGCATCATCCTCCAACAAATCGCCAACATCGACGACTTCACCATCGCAGGTCTACACCTGCGTCTATCACAACCATTACTTTCAGCGAACATCCTCTCGGCCGGCCACACCAAATACCAGACCGTCAAAACCATCTCCACTGTCCACGATGACTTCGCAGCAATCATCGCAAGCTTACTACTCGCCGCACTCCGGCCAACCATACTATCTCTTCCCCAATATGCAGATCAACGACCAACAACAGCAACAAACCGCCTTCGACATGCAGCAACAGTCGTGGATGATGGCCACCATGATTGAGGACGACGATCTCACCTTTGGCGGCAAGTCCCTCAGTGATTGGTACGAGGAGGATCGCCGCCGGCTGAGCCTCGGAGACGACAGCGCCCCCAGCCCCGATAGCTGGCGTAGCGATCAAGAGGAAGAACGACGAGGGCGCCAACGACAACGACCCTCATATCAGACGTCGCCAAAGCATCATCACAAGAAATCCGACAAGAAGCATTGAGAAGCTCCTTTCCGAGTTGTGTGGGTTGCCTCACTCGCTACACTTCGCCACATGGGCGGAGCGTTGCCCCATGCCGACGCCGGTCGCATCATTTATCATCCCGCCACAGAACAAGACAGGACATTTTGCAAGACAAATCTGCGAGACACACGCACAATAGTACAGTACACATGGGCGGGCGGTAGGGGTGTACGAAACAAACTGTCTCAGCAGGATTCCGCCAATTTCTTTTGTTCGTTCTGCGGCCACCCGCCCTAGACTAGACATAGAGACATTCTCTAGACGGGTTAGATGGAGGTATCGCATCGGCATCTGTTTTTCGACAAGCATTTACATCGTCGTCGTCGTCGTCATCATCGTCATCATCGTCATCTTCCTCCTTCAGCATCTTGCATTTGCATCTTCAACATGCGGACTCCCGATCACGATTGAGTCGCGTCGGCCCCGCATTGACTTTGCATCTTGCTGCACTGCACTGCATTGCATTGCATGCATACATCTATGAGCACACTGAAATGCATTTTTGCATCTTCCCCATGATCCATCCTCGGCAACATCAACATCACTCGCGCGGCATATCTTGCATTTACGGGGCATACGGGACATCTGCATCTCCTTTTACACATACCATCTTATAGATCCGTATCTCTCTCACAGGAGGCAGGGGCGCATACCTACCTTTTTTCTTTTTTTTTCGCTTTTTCTCAGCTTCGGTCTGCAAATGGCAGGCGAGGCATGAGTATCATGATACCCCAGACTGCGTCATCTACGTGCGGCCGCCGATCTCCATACACGGCAGGCCCGTATGCACTCACGCGCTGGGAGCACGGGCGGACGAGCTCGACTGAGCAGTCCCTGGAACAGCATGGGAGGCGTTTACGACATTTATTTGCTTGGTCTTGAAGAAGGCTGATTTGGGCGGAATACCACACCACTGCACCGAATGAGTTGCGTGGCTCGCTTTTGCTTTATAGGACATGCTACTGATCACTGATCGAAGTTAGACGTTTGCGTATGGAATTTACTGAATGAAACACTGACACTCAGATTGGCAGGATGATATCTTAGACAACAGACAGACAGAAACATTTGAATTGATGGCCTTAAGGCCCAAACTTGAGAATTAGTCTGATCGCTCCATTCTTCTTTGGCACTGTGATTTTCATGTGATACATTCGCCGCTCATTTTGGGTTTTGTTGGTTCAGCGGCCGGTCACGAGACAGACGATCGTTGGCATGTGATACTAGCTTCGCCTGCATTGTCATGTGTTCTGCCCAGATTTCCGTGGGAAAAAAGAGAGCAACTTCAATAACCCTATGGGTATCCGCTAGAAACATACTATCATCGTCCAAAACACCGCGCACCAATGTCGCTCGAAACGTAATTTGTACTGCATGCTCCGTTTCATCCTCACTTGCACGATAGACACGCGAAATGCCACTAGCATTCAGGTCGAGAAGGAGCGAGACTGCGAAGACAAAACCCTAAACAGATCCATGGCACCCAACGGGTCTGTCAGCATCTAATGTTCTCTTCTCTCAGACTTTGCTTCTCGTGACTCCAGGCCGTTGATCACTAGCCCCCGCAATCTCAAAGAAGGCATTCAGAAGAGACCAAACGCTGCAGAGCGTGCGTTAGCGCATCGACCTTCACACCGAACAATCGATTCGTCATTGGGTGAGTGGAGGAGAACTGACAAGCTAATTGTAGCCATAATCGCCGCGCCGTATCCCGCACGCGCCAGCACAAAGAGGTCGTTGGCCTCTCCCGTGTACCCGTCGTGATACGACGGCATGATCTCCTCGTACAGTGCCCGCACGTACCGGAAGACGCCCGTCACGTCGGGCGGCGGGCCGTAGTAGTTGGTCCCGTCGCTGTAGGCGCCGGCCGGGAAGCGGATCGGCGCCCAGCCGATGACCAGCACGACCAGCCACAGCGCAAACACGGCGACGGCGCTGCCGATGGTGAAGATGCGGCGGCCGCGGCTTGGTTTGTGGTCAGCGCTGCTGCGACGAGACAAGACTAGCGCGAAGATCTCGCGCAGCAGAGAGAGGAAGGCGACGGGAATGGCAAGCGCCCAGGCGACGATGAAGATGGCCCAGCACGACCACAGGGAGCAGGTCTCATCGTAGAGGAGCTTGGCTTTGGTGATCTCGACGATGGTGATGATCAAGGTGATGAGATAGATGACGATCGAGAGGGCGCTGGTGGTCTTGTTGGCCATGATGGCGGTTGTTGTGCGCAGTAGATGTTACCTCTAATGATGTCTTATGATGGTGTCGCGTTGATCAATGGTGTTGTGTGAATAGCAGATTCAGGACTGTCAACACATACTTTCTGGCCAACAGCAAGAACATCCCATCTATAAAGAGAAATTCATAGTCGTATTCTTGGCCAAATTTGGCGATCGATCAGTCTTCTTGGTTTCTGCCTGCTATCACGCCCGTCTTTCTGCCCTGCCTAACACCTGATTGCTCATACGGGATAGTAGGAATGGGGCGCAGGTGTCGCTCTGTCGCTGGGCAGCCTTTCTGTGTGCAGTGTAGTATTTATGTATGCATGTGCTCATATCAGCGAGGAAGCTCGCCCAGTTATTTGGAGATGCCCGTATCTGCCCAGCTTCCCGCGCCATCTGTTGGTGCCACTCTCGCATTGCGATGATCGCACTCGCAGAGGCGGCATTTGGCCTGACTACCTCCGTAGCCGGCATTGCTGGTTTCTATGTTTTCAGACAGACACGAACATCAATTCTCCTGTTGATGGCTCGTGGATATCAAACCAGGATTATATCTGCCCGAAATTGGCTCAAAGCCGCCTGCTCTTTTAATAGATTCGAGATATGGTCGTACCCCTTTTCTTCCGCAAGCTCAATGGCCTTCTTGAATTTGTTCTCTTTTATATCTGCCTCTGCTCCTGCATTGATCAAGAGCCTCACCATGTCATATTTTCCATGATATGCTGCAATTTCAATAGGGTTGAACTCGGCACCTAAAAATGACTTTTTGCCAGAAAGTCCATTAACGCCTGCTCCTGCTTCAAGAAGTAACAAAACCTTCTCGATGTCTCCATTTCTAGCACTCCACCACAGCGCGATGAGGCCGTGGTCCACTAGTGCTTCATCGACGTCTACTATTCCACGTTCGATCAGGTATTTAACGATTGCAGTAGGACCTTCTTTCCAAGCTGCTTCGAAAGGTGTTCCCTGAGAGCTTCGTAGATGTAAATCAGCGCCAAGCTTTATGAGGAGCTTGACGACGTCTAGGTGGCCGTGGCGGCACGCAACCGCCAGCCCACTTTCATCGTCCTCCGCAACAACATTTATATCTGCACCATGGTTAACTAGAAATTGAACCATATTTGAACGGCCCCTGTGGCATGCAGCTGTCACTGGCCGCCCAGACGTCTCCGCACCATGCTCAATCAGTAAGCCTGCGAGGGCAAGGTTGTCATGCCAAGCTGCCCACCGCAACGGCGTGCCTCTCTGAACATCTGCCCCGTTTTGAAGCAAGAATTTTGCAAGAATTAAGTTGTTCTTATGACAGGCTAGTTCAAGTGGGGTTCCTGAAGTTGATCCATAGGCGTTGACATCTGCACCATATTGAAGGAGCAGACTTATTCCATGAAATAGAATGTGCTCTTCCTCTTCAGCCATACTAGTGCTCATATTTGCCAACAGCCACCAGAGAGGATGGCATTTCGCAGCAGGAAAGAGGTTTTCGGTCACCAAATGACATGGCTTCTTCGGGCAAGCCCCTTTTTTGAGAATGAACTCAAGTTTGTCCACTTTGTTATCAACATCGCGGCCACAAATAACGCTCAGCTCCTCAGACCCAAAGTTTGGACCTAAATCGACAAACCTCGCACCCCTGCTCCAAGAGAATCGGACGATATTTTGACTGCAGTAGCGCAAGGCATATAACAATGGTGTAAGAATATGTCGCCGATCAGGCAATCCAAACTTTAGGCAATGATTAGGATCAGCGCCAGTCGCTAGTAGGTCGTCGATCATCTCTTTGTCCTCGTCTTGAATGGCAACTAAAAGCAAGATGTTCTTACAAGTACGTGTCTGAACTCGAATTAATTTCTGCGCAATGCTGCGCAAGAAATGAGTGGTGTTCTTATCAAATTTTGACCAGCTTTCGAGCATTCTTTCCTGTATAGTAGCTCCAGCATCTATGAGCAAGCCTGCCATCTCAACGTCTCTGTTCCTGAAAGCGTGCTCAAGAGGAACACGCCCGAAACATGGCCATTCAGAATCGGACTCAGATTTGCTACGATAACAACTGACAAATCTGTCCGGGTAAGGGCAATCAGGATTTACTCCTGACTGTAGGAGACGTCGTGCAAGAACGGTATTTCCAAACTCTGCAGCTCCATAAAGTGCCATCTCCTTCGCAAAGTCGGACACAGTTGGCAATGAATTCTGTTTCCCTGTGGCAGCCGCTATGGTCATGCATATATCGCTTTCTTTAAATGCCTCTGAGTTGAGTGAAAGAAAGCATCCTAGACTCGGGGAGCGAAATATACAAAAATCTGTGTAACTGAAAATACTTTGATTCTCATGATACAGATGATTGGCGATTGTCATATCCATACCTCGATGGATTCTCTGCTGTGGAGATGTATGAGTTCTCGTACGAGGTGCTTCCTGTCTCGCTTCGCTTGCTATGTCGACAATATGTGACGAAAGCTCAAACTTTGTCTCATGTTCAAGCATTAAATTTATCATGTCGGTACTTTCATGTTTCAGAGCTTGGTCAAATATGTTTCCCGTTCCCAACAGCCATGTAGGTCTAAGATTGATCTCCGCTCCGCATTCCATCAAAAACCTGGTTAGTGGTACGTTGCCTGAGAAGACGCTACCAGAAAGAACGAGGGACGCCTCGGAAGGTCTTATTTGCCTCTTGGCCTTTCCTAAGACTAGTAAGCCCATCCAGATGGCTTCCTCGAGTCTCATATCGGGTACATTGGACAGAGGATGTTGGCTAAGTTCGAAGTCTGTTCGAACGTGCTCAGAATGAGCCCTGTTGCCTAGTTGGCACGCAATTGCTAATATGAAACATTTGACAAATGCCACCAAAATCTCGTTTAGCTCGCTGTTATGTTTACCCAAGGAGCCAAAGATAGGTTTGTAATGCTGCCGATGTAAAAGCCAATATATCAAATCGCATTCTTGTCGGACAACCCACAGCCTCCCTTCACTGTGGTGATCCATGATATCGTTAACGAAAATAGAGATCACAATGTTCATGAGCTCAGTCTCAGAAGACGAAGCTAGGTCACAACTGGCAGGGATACGTAGTATAGTCCAAGGTGGCCATGACTGAAGTTCTTGTGATCCAAATGTGTCAAGAATTGACCTTAACGAGTCCCATGACCAGGACAAGGTCGGCTGTACTTGAGGGCTGCTTCCAATACTCCCACGTATGATGGGCTTAATTTTCCGTGGGCTTTCGGCATCGAAGAGCTTGTGCGCTAGATCTTCAATTTTTAGTGCTTTGGACATGTAGATTGTAAATGTGTAAGAGCTTACTTTCTAACCACGGTTTTGTTTGTAAAATGGAAATTGCAAGACCATACAGCCACAATTTCCTTGGTTGAGGAGCAATGTCACTCCAGTCAATCTCTGACATCGCATCTCTAGGAATATCAAGAGACTTTGTCTCCCAGTGCTCCTTCAGCTCACAATCAGAAGTGAGGTCCGCGTTGTTGTCGTCAAGGTCTTTACTAATTAGAGTATAATCCTCTTGCGAGCTAAGCGTAACAACTTCAATAGATGAGTCGGAAATCTTTACCGTGTCTATTTGGCAAAGAAGATCAGGCGAGGGTGTTCGTAAGATAATCCCTGGGCTTAAATGAGTTGCTAACGTTGAGATTAGCTTTCTTTCAACTGTATTCGACTTTTGAAGACTATACGGGATATGGTACGCATATGCTCAAAGCGAGCCCCATACCGCTTAAGCTCCCGTGCGACTTGAGCATCATCAAGTGTCTTCCCGTTGATTATGAACTGACTATCCTTTCCTCTACGCGCGCGATCGTAACGTGCTGAGTAGATTGAATGCCATTGAGAAAAAGTAAGATTTTTCCTGATTTTGAGCTTGTTGAAAAGTCCCTTGTATTGCCTTTGTCTAGTCGCTAGGTCAGAACTAATCGGGTAACGGAGCTTGGAGTAACCCTACGTTGCACTGAGCCTTCGATTTTTTCGCATATAGTCTTGAACCCTTGGCAGCGTCCATCTTTTCTCTAAGTACAGGTAACGGATTTCTTCAAGGAAAGGAGCCCAGTCGATTGTGGAATTTGGACTTGTCATAGACATTCTTGTTAGGATGAGGTGCATGTCAGAATATGTCACTGGCTTAAAGTCTGCATGGAATGAGAGATGGTTTACTGGCGGCATGTTACCATTGCCTTTAAGTTACAACTGTGTTTTCTCCTTACATAGTAAACTACTCCTGGCGAACCATCTCGCTGGCGCAGTAAGGCAAATGTTTGAACAAGCCACTTCGCTTAAGCTTTGACAGTGAAGCATTCGTGATTGGCCACATAAGGACGTTGCAGGACATGAGAACTGTTGGCATGCATGCATGCACTTCATTGCAGCAAGCCACATTGACTTCTATTGGGTGCTCTAGACATTAAAAGAGAGCCAGATAATCATTATGCGGCTCACATGTAAGGAAATCTCCGATGAAATGTATTGGTCACAAAAGTCCCTCGCTGCCTAACACAATTCAAGACAGCCGCCTAATCAGAAACGCTACCCGGCAAGCAGGTTTCTAGAGCGTGCTAAAGCAAGAACAACACCGGACCAGATTCAGAAAGTCAATGAAAGCTCGTCACGTCAAAGAATTTATGTCCTGCTCGATCTGTTTCTGCGTTATCTTTAGGGGCTCTGGCTAATGCTGTTCGTGTTGTACCTTCACATGTAGCTCATCTTTAGACGTCTACGGTCAGTCAGCCGCTCTTGAATGATTACCATCCTCGCACATGCTTTGGTATTTACGTCGGGACCGCGTCAATATTATAAGGCAGTTAAGTGTTTTGCTGAAGCACGCGAAAGGGTTGGTCTCGATAACAATCCGGCCTATCATCGAACCCAGAGATGACATATCTCCTACAATTGGGTTTCAGCATCAAATTTGAAAAGATGCACTTTGGAAGAAATAGCCTCCACGTAAGACTTTATCGTTTTGTGATCCATACACTTTAAATGTGCTGGCTCGACCAAGATTTGCACACCCCCCTTAAAACGTTAACTGGTTCCATTTTGGAGGCCAGTCTTCAGGCTGCATCCACTTATTGAAACTTAATGGCTGGTTTGGATTTGCATCCTTTCGATCATTCCATTGATGAAGGTCATTCCACAGACCTTTAAGTCGTCCGAAAGAATCCCAAGCTTGAAGGTGTCGGCAAAGTCGAATGGCGTTTAGCAAACCCTCTTCATATTGACCTATGTCAATATGACCCCAGGGGCTGATAATCGATGGTATCATTAGAAAGCTGCTGCCGTCGGCATAGTAGCCCGGCCAGTCATAAATGCTGTCGGATGTGACGGAATCTGGTTTGTTCAGCCGAGCAGAAAGGGCATGCCTGATCTTGGCCAGCCAGACAGGTAGTCCAAAGTCTTGATAAGTGTCAGGAGACCTTAAACAGTTGAACCCTTCAACTTCGAATAGACCCTCTCCGGAGTCGCTGTATCTAGTTCTCCAAAGTGCGTTCGTTTGGTAGAAGTGGAAGCAGGCTGCTTGACAATTTGTGATGACGGCATCACCGAGACAGCGGGACTGGAAGGAATCCATCTGTTCAACCATAGATCGAAACGCTGGGGACGGAAGACATCTTGATGGAGACAACCACTCTGGGACCTTCGTGGAAGGCATATTTACTGACTCGGGTGTCTCGGATTCGCAGGCGTCTATGCTCCAGACCGAGGTTACACTTTTCTCGCAAAACCCATCGGGCTCCGACTTGACTGTTGGCCATGTTTCTAGCAAATTGTCGGTTAACTTTTCGGTCGCAGTCAGGTGCATGTCTGAAAGGCCTTCCTCGATTCGTCTCAGTGAAGAGCTGTATCTTATCAGCCATGGGTCATACTGGTGACGATGTTTGACGAGAGCCTGCTTAACTTACTTTCCCATCGATGTCATGAGCAGTGTAAAAGCTGATATGTGAAAAGAGAGGTCCTGCCGAACCCGCTTTATTCTCTTCTGGCTTACTACCCACTTTAACTTCATCCATAGCCGCTCCGACTTTGGTACTTCCGTCATAGGCCGAAACTTGTCCACCACATCCTGGACTTCACGAAGGGTCACGTTCAGTCCTTGGGTCATTGACTGTAGCATCTTTAAGCGGTCTTCGCCATGCGCAAGAATGTTTGACTTCGTCGCATTCAGGTCGTCTTGTATCTGGTTGATCACCCCGTAAACAGTCGCCAGGTCCTTCGCAAGGTCTTTGATTTCTTGTGGAGCATCCTTGAGGGAATTGTACAAACCCCAGGTTAGTGAGATCGCTTCCTTGAGGTCCGTTATCGAGACTCCAAATGACATGGTGCCAAATGTGAACAAATGCTTAAGTCACAGAGACCAGTGTATTGAAGATGTGACTCAATTGACTCCATACGTACAAGAAGTGCGAGTTGTGGCGGTGTTGCGCACCGCCCCACATGTCGCCTGTTGTAGGCTGCCTCGGGGCAATGCCTCTCCGCTCAGCAATTGAACAGCCCTCAGCCTAACAAACATCATATTCAGAGAACACTGCAAGCAGTATGAAAGGTAAAAGTATTGCGAGGGGGCGATTCGGAATTGGGCGTTTGGCTCTGAAGCAATTATTAGAGAGCCCATCTTTCTAAATCAACCTATAGCTCCGCATCATCTTGCCAGTTTGGGACGAGAGCAGCAATGGTATTCTCAAGGGCCTTTCTAGATTGCGCTCGATACTGTAAAGCCAACTCCTGGTTGCGATTTGCTGGTTCAATATCGAGATCTTGTCCGTTTTCGTCCTGACCACCCGGATGGCTCTCGCATAGCTTGTCGTACTCATATCCCAACTTCGCTAGCAACATTTCCTTCACCTTGCTCTCTATCTGATCCAGCTCCTCAGGCAATGAGGTAGACAGAATTCGACGAAGACATTCCTGCTCTCTCTGCTCTCGAAGCACACTGTCAGCGCTCTCCGCCTCCGTTGCCACGCGAGAGGTAAGGCCCAGCGGTGTATCATCGGGAACGACCTGGTGAACAAACGAGTCTTTTTCGTCGTCCGTCATGCCCAATATTGACATGTCCCATACAAGGTTGTCTTCAATGTGACTAAACTCGGATTTAATAGGGAAATCTGGTGACTGTGCGACGCGTTGTCGAGCACGACCCACAAAAGAGCTTGGGTGAGCCATTGGTCGAAGGGATATGAGGAAGTCAACGGCCTGAGTAGAGCTATTGCCCGCCAGCTGCGCTTTGTCAGATGTGCTGTCAGCTGCTCGCCTTTTCCGAAGATGGATATAATCATTGTGTAAGATATCTGTCTCGGGTATAACGAAACCATACGCCAGAAAGAGCTCACTATTCGTCTTCTTGCCGTAGTTATTGAATATTTGGTCGCCAGGCTTGTACATGTCGTGGCATCTCAGCAAGCATGCATCGGCTCGTGTTCGTGTATCCCATTGGACTTTTGCAAGCAAGGAATGATTAGCAAGGTCGAACACTGGCAACAAGATCGAGAAATCATCGATGCCGCAGTTCGAAGGTAGCACAGATTCTCGAACCTGATCTGAAATGATGGTTGATGGCCTGAAGCTCCTGCTTGTGAACATGCTATATGACCAGTTGTACAGAAGCCTTGTGTAATCCTGCCACCCTGGGAAATTTGCCTCCTTCAAAATCTTCCTTGCTTTCTTGAACTCATTCTTGAGGTTGCTTTGAATCTCTTCTATGGCAACTCCCGCATTGGTCCCTTCCAGGAATGTAGCATCGTCCTCTGTCCAGAATGGCGGCAACGACCAGCTATTCAAGGCTTGTGGCTGCGGCAAGGTTTGAATGTATGGCGACCAGAAAGATTTTGACCCCAGAAGATATTGCTGAATTAGATAGAAGCGTCCAATGATATGTGGAGGCAGGGTCGTCAAGAACTCGTGAGGAAATGCCGGGTTGGTTTCAGGCAATCCTTGCCGATGCGGCTCGACAGGGCCACCACTGAGGGCATTCAAATACGAAAGGCTGAGCATAAGGGGGCATGCCAGGACCGCATCGCCTGGCGTCAAAGTGTCGGTAGCAGGAGATATACTACTATTCTCCTTCACCCGCAGTGAGAACCCAGTGAGGTCGTCGTGATAGATGTCTACGGCGGGATGAAGCTCCCCACCAGATTGCGCTGCCCAGCTCAGCAGCTCAGTGAAACGCTGTTGGTCGGCCTCCTTCATCACCGCGATTGTGGTCTGTTGTTTCTAAACGCGTTTTAGGCACACATTTGATGGATAATTCGTGAATTCACGCCAAGGCGTGACTGCGTCATCTTCTAGGTACACCACAATTCGAGTTGCTGTCCGTGTGCATTGCATGCGCTTTTGCCATTCAAAACTAGCAGCCTGTCGCAGGTACCCAATTTTCCATTCTGATATCATTTTGCTGAGTCATCTTGATGTTTGTGTGAGAGGCAATGAGGGAACCTTGCAAGTGTGGAGCAAAGTTCTGAGCCAATCAAAGCAAGGGAAATTTTCGGGAGATCGGAACGCGCGGGGCCGTGGAACCGGTACGCACGCTTATGAGACAGACACCTTCGATGTAATGGTCTCCGGCTGTTCGTTAGCCAGGGGCAACGCTGAAGCAAGCAATACGTTATTGAATTAATGTGAGAAGATGTCAGAAGCCGACAGAGAGGAAACCATACAGGCTAGGAGGCAGCGCCTGTCGGTCATACCCCGTGCAGTAGGTGGCATGGTCCCCTTACTACCCCTGAGCTCATTAGTAACCATTTGCCAGTGTGAAGCATGCAGGATACGCAAGGTACAACTCTTCAGAAACTCTTAATTTGAGGGGGTTTATTACCAATACGTTTAGACACGTTGCGATCGCTCCATTCCCTGCTCTAACTGTCGAACATCTGGAATCGCGTGCCGACCCATCAGCTCCACGCCAGAAACCCGCACGAAATCGGATAGGGTGACGCAATTGTAAGTACTGGAGCGGAGTAAAGCCGACAAAATACAAACGTCCATCGTTAACAAATTATAAGGGAGAATCTTGTCGCAGCCCTTAGCAGACGCCTGTCTCTTGTTGAGGATAAGTTGGGTGGCCAGGAAACACCGCCGGACATTAACAAATCTCACTCCATCTCTACTAGCCACAGCCCTGATAGCGCAAGCAATGCCGCTGCAGACCCATTATATGAAGGTCGATCCTCTTTCACCACTCAATCGGCTCAGGCCAATGAGTTTGCCAGGAGGCAGGCTGATTTAGATGGGTTCCGTGGCGGGTCAGACCTCGATGCATCGATTACTTACTTAAACACTCTACTTCAGCCATCTGGGGGTATTCCATCTGTTGAAGATCATTACTTCTCCCCAAATCCTGCTATCCGACTTGAGACGCCTTTATCTCCTCTTCCCACGGACCTCGTGGTCACTATTTTGCGAAAGATCAAAGGTATACACGCTACGTACAGCCATGCCACAAGTGATGATTCCAGCCGTGCTGATTTAGCCCAGTTACTCCCCCGATGGTAATGACCTCTTTTCCCGTCAATGATATGACCCTAGTCGAGACTCTATGTCAAAAGGTCTGCTTTCCGACGGACGCAGTATCTAACGGTCAAGTCACGACAATGCACGGTATCCTGTATTTTATCATGAAGGAGTACGTTGCTTTGTCAGATCCGCTGTGCAAAGAATACGATCTTAAGATGCATCTTGACAAGTGTGAACAAAGGTTCAATGTTGGGATTGAAACGTATGATATCTTGGCTATCCCAAATTTCGAGAATATCTTTGCCTTAATGCTAGGTGTAAGTAATTTCCTCTAGCTGCTACATTGAACTCTGATCTCATCTCCTGTCCTGATACAGATATTGAAAGCCCTGTCGGAAGCCAAGCTTCTTCTTAGTTCATCCTTGATGGCAGCTGCTACCAGTCACTGCCAAATGCTGGGATATCACAATGAGATGTCTTACCGGAACGACCCCCCGCGCAAGGCAGACAACAAGCGCCGGCTATTCTGGACAATCTATTATTTTGACAAAAGCAACTCCCTCCTACTTGGTCATGCTCCGAGGATACAAGATGATGAAGTCGACGTACAATACCCTGCACTCTCAAATGACCCTGGTCTACGACCTTGGGAGGAAATATTTCATCTCATTATCCAGATGGCTGGATATCAGGGACAAATTTACAGCAAACTATACTCACCGGCGGCTATGAAATCAGACGCATCGTCACGCGCACAAGTCATCCAGAGCCTCAAGGCCAGCATGATTCAATGGCGTGTCGACTTAGCGCAAGTATGCTCATGCCTTCAATCCTGACTGATGCTCTTGACTGATTGAGTGTTTAGGTTGACTGCAGTCAAGTAAGATACGCAGAAGTCGTCCGCCTATCGAAGGAATGCTGGGATATACTATATTACTCTGCACTGACATTACTTCTGCGGGCATCGTCGTTGCCGGGATCAGGAGCAGAACTTACCTCGGAGTGTTTCCAAGCTGCTCGGCAATGTTTAGAGACTCACATTAGATGTTTCTCCGCGTACGCGGAGTGCGACATGTTAAGTGAGGCAGAATATGCAAATTCGTCTGTGTCCATATTCACACGTGTTTCAAGGTAGCTAACCGTAGTCATAGAATTTTCTATTTCTCATCGTTCACACCGTTCGTCGTTGTATTCCTGCACTCCATCGCAGGATCGAGCATGGAAGATGTTCAGTTACTAGAAGCAGTGACTAAGGTCTTGCATAAGATTCGCAAAGCTTCGAAAGGAACTGAGCGCCTCTACGAGATCTGTGCCACTTTTGTACGACTTGCTAAAGGTCTAGTCGAATCACAGACTTCGTGTCTAGGAACATACAATGAGCAAGAAGATTCGCTGCAGTTCTCTTCCTACCCAGGTCAACTGGCAGAACTACGTCCAGAGGATTTACAAACCTATTTTGGACCTAACATGATGGATTATATTACGGATTCGGAAGCTCTGGACATGTCTACTATTCTAGCCGACTGGGCGAATGGACCGCCATCTGCGGTTGGGTTCTTCGGCAGCAATCCTGGCGATACGTATTGATCAACGAAATAATTGAGTGTCTCTGTCACCTAAGACAATATTGCGCATTCAGCTGAGTATTGTCTGGCTGTTTAAGTCAGCTTTCACAAAAGCGCAATGCTATATTTGAAGTAAAAGAGAGTATTGAGCTTATTCATGATTGACATTCACCTGGGTCTGGCCAACAGGAGCCAGGCTTTCAAGCATATGCCATGTAGAATAAAAAGAAGAAGAGAAACTTAGGTGGTGTTACCAAACGAGAGATGGCAACTATGCTAGCCAAATAATGCACACTTTGAAGTGAGCGTCGAGTTACGACACAGACCAAAAAGGCCTACATGCTTCCATTTCATCTTAAGTCCAGTAACACTTAGAAACATTTTCGATGAACGATAGACGGGCCACTCTCATCGTATTCAGCTTTTGAAATCCACATTTGCTGGAATGTTGAAAGAGATGCAAGAATAGAGCCGCCAATCCAGACCGAATACTTCCTCTCTGGTGGAGCAACAATCTTGACCTTCATAGAAGATGGGGCCAGAGCTGTCATTTCCTTCTGCATTCGATCTGCTATCCCCGGGTACATGGTAGTGCCGCCAGACTATGATATCAAACGTGAGCCGCTTTCCTGGTTTCTAATTGGATGGAGAAGATCATACCATAATAATGTTGTTGTAGAGGTCATGGCGAACATCAATATCGCATTTGAGGATCGACTCATATACAACCATGTGAATGCCACCACCCTCGAGTCCAAGAGCCTCGGGTTGAAAGAGGGCTTCGGGTGTTTTGAATCGTTCACTACCAATTGTGATGACTTGTCCATCTGGGAGCTCGTATGACTTCTCAAGTGCAGAACTTGTTTCGGAGGTCCGCATCTCTTGCTCGTAGTCAAGGGCAACATAGCAGAATTTCTCTTTGATATCGCGCACAATCTCCCGTTCTGCAGTCGTTGTAAATGGGTGCCCACGCTCTGCTAGGTTCTTCATGAGATAGTCAGTGAGATCGCGACCAGCCATGTCCATTCGGCGGATTGCATGCGGGATCGAAAAGCCTTCGTAGATCGGAACGACATGAGTAACGCCGTCGCCAGAGTCAAAGACAATTCCAGTCGTGCGGCCAGATGCGTAGAGAGATAAAACGGCTTGAATAGACACGTAAAATGCTGGGGTATTGAAGGTCTCGAACACAATTTGGGTCATTTTCTCCCTGTTCGACTTTGGATTGATTGGAGCTTCGGTGAGCAGTATCGGATGTTCTTCAGGTGCAACTCGAAGTTCGTTGTACATTGTATGATGCCAGATCTTTTCCATATCGTCCCAATTCGTCACAATGCCATGTTCTATGGGGTATCGCAACGTGAGGATGCCTCGTTTGGATTGGGCTTCGTCGCCGATATAGGAGTCCTTTTGGCTCATCCCTGCCATGATACTAGAGGGAGTAGGATTACCAGTCAGCCAAACTCCAGGCATCTTGACTATGGAATAATAGACAAGTATAGCTTATTTGAAGACGGAACATGCAGGAGTTCGCGTCGAGCGACAGGTGCAGACGAAGGAAAAGGGGGGCTTACCCTAGGTGCCGAGGACGGCCAACAATGGTGGCTGGACAAACGAAGTCAGTCAACGAGAAATCTGGATGCGATATCCAATAATATCAAAACATCGGGTATTACAGAGGTGGAAATATCTTGAGCTCTTGACGACATGAGGTCTGATGGGCAAATACTTACGAAAAACCGCGCGGGGGGCATCATCGCCGGCAAACCCGGCTTTGCACATGCCAGACCTGCGTTACAATCAGTACTTTCTGATACAATATTCTGTATATCCGTGTATGTTCGTTGAGGTTATCGAGTTCAAAGTTCAACGCCCTCAGTAGATGTTAAACTTCGTGAAGGTGTTTGACAATCGCACGAGTCGAGAGCCAGGTGTTGTCGGAGGAGTTGCATACCCATTATCAATAACGAGAGACGCAATTTCATCTGGAAAGGGGCATGATGTCAGCAAGAGTACGTCCGCCAAAGAATAATTGTTCCAAGGGAAGCGGCGATGTCTCAAGCGGACATGTTTAAGACGTACCGTCCATGGTGCTTCGGAAGTGGGCGTGTCTGATCTTGTACCCAAAACGTTTAGTGAATTGAGCTACACTAGCTGTCGTGCAGTGGTTCCAGAGGAATAAAAAGATGCTTCTCTAATAGTGCCCGTAGATTGACCTTGCTTTTGAGCTGTTCAATTTCTTGATCTATATGTTTACAAGAGACTCTTGACCAGGTCAATTTGAGCGCAGTACGGGAGACTTTTACAGCCGGGAGAAGACCGACGCTTGATCTTGGCTACCTGCGCTGGTGAGCCCCTTGCCCCTTTCGCCACTTTCCCCAGCCTCCTATCTTGTTTCCTGCACTACATCTGAGACAATTGAGTCTCGAATACCATAGCGACGAACATCATACCAGGTCTTAGATGACGATGATCTAGGCATCAAAATTCGGATACTCGATGCTTGTATGATGAGGTGATCTAAAGACTTGAGACGACAGTCTCCGCCGCCTTAGTCCAGCTCGGCGCGCTGTATCACCGAAGGCTTCAGCTGACACCAGATACCCCGATACTTCCCAAAATATCATTATTCATACGCTGGAATGTTGCGGCCTTCCACGAGGCAGCCTTTTAAATTGTTAATGCCTGAAAACCATGACGCGGCCCCATAACTTCCCTTACAATAGAAAAGTGGCTGCCTGATTTGAAGGGCGTTGATTGACGATGACCTAAAGAATCCACCACTTGCTTCGTTTCGCTTTCTTGAAAGTGAATTAAAGATGGCGATTGCTTGTTTGGTACTTAAATTGTTCCTGCGTTCGCATATCCAGATTACTATTTAAAGTCAGTGGTGGATTGTCTTGTCTGCTCTTGGTTGCAGCAACTGGCAGGCACACCACTTCTTAACCCGTCTTTCACAACCAATTCATTTGACTCATTCAACCATGTCGGTAAGATAATAGATCCTCGTTAACCTCAAAAAACCGCTTCTAATGATTCGTGATGACAGAACTCTTCGGGGTCAGTCACCATTGTTATCAGTCTCTCGTCCATTTCGCTCGACTCCTTCTTACGATGATTCCGGTGTTAACAGTGTTTCGATTGCCGACGAATGCATCACTGCTGTCAGCAAGCTTCGGTCTGGACGAGGCTTAACTAAACCCAAATTCGTTATCTATAAAGTCTCGGACGATCAAAAGGCTGTTGTCGTCGAAGAGTCTTCCACCGAGCAGGACTATGAGGTCTTCCGTCAGAAGCTAGTATCGTCAGTTGATGCGAAAGGAGATCCTGCGCCGCGATATGCTGTCTACGATCTTGAATATGATCTTGGTGATGAGGGGAAAAGGTGTGTACCCCTGCAAGGTTGCGTCTTGAAGCAGCGTCGCTCCAAAACAACTAAGACGACATAGAACAAAAACGATCTTCATCTCATGGGTACCCGAGAACAGCCCGGTCAAGGTTATTACTCACAGCTCATCATTTTCTTTTCGTACGGTATCAGTGACCTGACAGGCAAGCAGCTTCGCATGATCTACGCGAGTACTGTGGAACAGCTCAAGAGAGCACTCAACCTCGGCAGCTCTATCCATGCTGACAATTCAGACGAGATCGAATGGGATACTTTATTGAGGGGTGTTAGTGGTGGTAGAGCCCAGTGACCTGGGAGTGGATTGTAAAGAAAGAGGCGCCGGGGCAACGGATGCCACATATGTGAAGACAGGAGAATAAGAGTATGATAGCTAACTTCGAACTCGCTCGTTACAATAACTATTGTTTGACAACCTATTTTCGAGATAATGATATCTAAGTAAATGATTGAATAAGGAAATAATCGCAAGGTACTACTTTCCTAAGCAAAAAGTTTGATGCGCTTCGGCAGAAAGAATATAGAGGCTCGTTTTAGTGATAACTCCCTAAGATGCCGCTGAAGGGTTTTCTTCTGGGTTTACATCCATGTCTTTAGCAATGCGGCAAACTCAGATCGAACAGTTCTTTCACAAGCACAAAGGTCGCTATGACCTCTAGGACAGCACTATCAAAGATTTCCTTCATGGACCTACCACTTTTAGTAAGACGACGAATTTACAGTGAAGCAGGACTCATGCCACGGCTAGGTGACGATTAGACAGTGGACACTTTTCACCTGCCGTCATGCATATCGAGAAAGTGCCTATTTTATCCGTATATCAAAGACTCTCTGTTAATGAAGCACTCCCATGATCCCCAAGCTTTCTATTATGCCCAGGGGAATTGGGACGGTTATGAAGACTATGGATTCAAGAGCCGGCTCGACTTTCATATGTTCCGGTATCCTTGTTTCTAGTCTCACGCGCGGTCGCCAATGATGCCAGAGAGTTCTTTTATTCTCATCATCATTTCCACCAGCTCACACTGCACCCGGAGGCCTCTCAGCGCTTAGAAGACTTAGGCTCCTACCCACCGCATCTCTGCAGTACCTTACTATCCGTATGAACATCTGCTTTTGTCTGGAATCCGAGAAGTGTATAGATCCAACGCATAGAATGCATACAGATTGCCATCCGTACTGCGAGACGGTGGGCCACGACACTCCCCTTGGCGACAATCGCGGTTCTCGTGAAGACAAATACTTGCTTGCTGAGCTAGATCGTATTTGCCAACATCTGGCAACTTACCTGCCAACTAACCGCCTCTATCTTGCCTTCGTTTGCGACTGCGCCGTTTACGGACTCGCTGTTGAAGCAATGAAATCTCTGCTACTTCTTCCAAGATTACGATGGTGTTCTATATCACTCTCACAATCCTTTAATGCAAAACTGAGAGAGCTAGCAGAAACAACGCGCCTGTTACTAACGGATTACCCCGAGTCCCGTATCAAGACGGAAATTTCGCTCAGAGACCTCCCCAAGGAGCTACAAATGAAGATATTGCGTCATACTGGTCTTGTAGCGCCATATCATCTGTATTACTGTTCAAAGTCTCGAGTCTGGAAACTCAACTCCAACGAAAATGGCGGATGCTTCTATGATAGCTTGTCCTTGGAGTATTCTATGAAGCCTATCTGTTGCCGCCGCCATCATGACCATTCACTGTCAGGCTGGAACTGCAATTGTTGGCATTTCCCCACGGCATTACTTAGCGTGGATCGAAAAATGAGAAACGAGGCTCAGGAAATTGCGTTCCGCGAAAATACCTGGATCTTTGACACCCGTGACATGACCCGCATAGTAACAGTGTCGCCATTAACTTCGTCAATTTTCTTCGATAACATCCGAGACCTCACGATCGATTTACGATTACGGCCTCGACACGCCAGTTGGGTACCGCCATGGGAGCAGCAATGGTCTCAATTTGTCAGGATGTAGCTTGTGTGCATTTCGTGTTGCTCCGCCGCCGGGGTAATTGAGCAATACCTTCGTTTTGAAATGGTTCAAGATAACGGACGACCCGCGACGTAATACCATTCTGTCGAATTTCGATCCTCCAGACAACATTAGGAGAAGCCACTGCCTTCGTTGGAGGGGCACGGCATTCTGAAGCGCTCAGCATCAATTGCCCCGGTGGAAGAGTAGATATGAACAGTTTCAATGGTCAACCCGAAGTGTGCTTTTACTCGTTCACACCTGCATCAACAGCAGAATCAAGGCACGTCTGCATCATGCAGAACTTGGTCACTCTAACGTAGCCTACTTATTTAATCAAATTGTTATGGACATGAACGATTTTAGGTTCAAACATGAGCCAATTGAAAATGATTTAGACCACGCATGACAGAGAACTTCGTACTTTCGACATCCCGATCCCGATACTCTGCTTACTATACAAATACTTATCTCAAGTGTTTTAAAATCTTGAATTTTTGCACATTATTATGATGGTTTTTGAAGCCGTCGATAGATTTTCACTAATTGATCTCCTGCCTATTTCGTCAGAGCTCGACATAATGGCGTTAGACAATGCCGAGCGATACCGCTTATGTAATGAACCGCCACGCGTCGTCGCCATAT